CATGGATGGGACTGGAGGAGATTATGTTAAGTGAGACAAGTCAAGCAGAGAAAGTCAATTATCATATGGTTTCACTTATTTGTGGAACATAAGGAATAACATGGAGGACATTAGGAGAAGGAAGGGAAAAATGGGGGGGAGGAATTGGAGGGAGAGATGAACCATGAGAGACTATGGACTCCGAGAAACAAACAGGGTTTTAGAGGGGAGGGGTGTGGGGGGATGGGTTAGCCCGGTGATGGGTATTAAGGAGGGCATGTACTGCATGGAGCACTGGGTGTTATACGAAAACAATGGATCGTGGACCACCACATCAAAAACCAATGATGTATAGTATGGTGACTAACATAACACAATAAAATTAAAAAAATAATAATAAAAATTTAAAAAAAGGAATCAGGGAAATGCAGATTAAGGCCACAGCGAGATATCATATTATACCCCAAAAGTAAGTGTACCAGGTGTTTGTGAGACTGTGACACAATAGAAATTTTTATACACTGTAAGAGTAAAACTTAGTAAAATCACTTTTGAAAAAGCAGTTTACTTGAGAGACTATGGACTCAGAGAAACAAACTGAGGGTTCTAGAGGGGAGGGTGGTGGGAGGATGGGTTAGCCTGGTGATGGGTATTAAAGATGGCACGTTCTGCATGGAGCACTGGGTGTTATGCACAAACAATGAATCATGGAACACTACATCAAAAACTAATGATGAAATGTATGCTGATTAACATAATAAAAAATTTTTAAAAAGCAGTTTATTTTATAAAGCTGAATAGAACCCATAGTTTTTGGCCCAGTAATTAACTTCTATGGAGTTAGCCTGGAGCAGGGTTTCTCAGCCTCAGCACCATTGAGATGTTGGGCCTGACAATTCTTGGTTGAGGGGCTCTCCTGTGCATTGTAGGATGATTAGCAGCATCCCAGGCCTCTACCCACTAGATACTGGTAGCACCCTCTTCCCAGTGTGCCAACCAAAACAAATCTCCAGACATTGCCAAGTGTCCCTGGGGGAGGCACAATCACCCCATCTGAGAACCGCCACCCTGGAGGAACTCTGGCTTCCATGCACCAGGGGACATGCACAAGAATGTTCATTTCAATCTGTGACAGCTAGACTGGAAATGACACGGTCACCCATTAACAAGAGATGAATAAATTCATTATGTGTAATCATGCAATAGAATATTACGGTCATGAAAACTTTATCTAGAGCACCACACAAGAAAGTGGATGAATCTTGGAAACACAATCTTGAGTGGAAAAAAAAATCAAGTCTTGTAAGATTCCATACAGCACGTCACGATTTTAACAAAGCACAAAAACTATCAGAAGTATTTTCAAGGATGCCTACATAATTAATAGAGCCTTCTTCTTTTTTTTTTTTAAGCAATGATAAGAATACCAAGAAACGATAAAGAAAAAACTCAGGATGTCTACGTTGGGGGAGGAGATGGGTGCAGTGAACACAGGTAGGAGCACTGGTATCAATAACGTTCTAGGATTAACTTGTATGGTGGGTTATCAAATTTATATCATCCACATTTCGGAAAGAAAAGAAAGGAAAACATAGTCTAGATACCCTAACTATCATGGTATTTTTTTTCTTTTAATGAAAAGAATGTGTAGCATATAGGAAGGAGAGTTTAAATAATTTAAAAAGAATTTAAAGTAATTACAGGCATACCTCATTTTATCGTGCTTTGCTTTATCGCACTTCGTGGATACTGCAGTTTTTACAAATTGAAGATTTGTAGCAACTCTGCATGGATCAGGTCTATCTGCACCATTTTCCCAACAGCATTTGCTCACTTCATGTCTCTGTGTCACCTTTTGGTAATTCTTGCAATATTTCAAATGTTTTCATTATTATAATATTTGTTATGGTGACCTGTGATCAGCAACTATTACTCAGTGCAAGTTCAAATGATGGTTAGCATTTTTTAGCAATAAGGTATTTTTTAAATTAAGGTACGTACATTGTTTTCTTAGACATAATGCTATTGTACACTTAATAGACTACAGTATAGTGTAAACAGAACTTTCATATTCACTGAGAAACCAAAGAATTCATTTGACTCACTGTATTGCAATATTTGCTTTATTGCAGTGGTCTGGAATGGAACCTGCAATATCTTAGAGGTATGCCTGTCCTTTCAATTTCCCAAAATTGAATTTCAAGTAGTTTCATCCCATCGGTCAGAGAAAACCATCAAGATTTCCAAGTATCACACCAAAACCTAGCCCTCACTCCGAGCCTACCACGTTTTCATCTTTCCTCAGAGAACTTCATGTTCTTCTGAACTATGCTAAGTATCCTTGCCATATGTCCAATAGCACTCCAAGGGTCACTTTCAGAGCTATGAATCATATTTTATTACACTTACTTATTTCATACGAGTCTGCCCCCACTAGGCCCCCCCTGCAAGGGCTGGGACCACCTGCATCTTCTTCACATTTGAATGCCCAGCCTCTGGCAAAATGCCTGGCACATAGCAGCCCCTCAGCAAAGAACTCTGACATCAGAAAGCAGTGTTTGTTAATGACTGCCTTGAGGACCACATGAATCAGAATCCCTTAAACTGCTTATATATACATACTTTATATATATGTATATATAATATATTTTAAAAATATATAATATATAATTAAAAAGTTATATTTTATATTATTTATTTATATGTCATATATTTATATTATAAAATATGTATATTTTAAAGCATATTTCTGATAACTCAATACCTCCTGGATCAGAATCTCTGGGATGGGCCCAGGAATCTATTTTGTATGTTTTAAGACACTCAGATAATTCCTGAATACTCTGAAGTTTTACAAACTTTGCTAAAAAGATAGGGCTTTCCTGAAGCTTTCTATTATTCTATTTAAGAGTAGATATCTACAGATACAACTACATTCAAGTTAAAAGAATAATGTGTTAAGTAGCTTCTCTTTCTACAAATGAGAAGGGGAAAAAAGCCTTGAGGATTTAACTGAAGTCATTCTCATACCTGCACAGGTTTTTTTCAGCAATGCTTCATTGGAAAAAATTGCTATTTAGAAGTTTGTTGTGTCCTCAGCCCAAAGCATTTTCTATGTAAGTCACTTAGCTCCTTCAACATATTTAAAATCACAATGCTTCTTTCCTTTTCCCTTCTGTCATTTTTATTCTTTGCACCAACCAGCCTTGGTAATGACGTAGCAACCTTCACATGTGTGGCTTGCCCCTTCATATAATTCCCTGACTCTTCTTCCTTTCACCAGAAACGATCCCCTGTGATTGCTGTGCTGTGACTCTTGTTTCTACAGTCCCTCGACATTGGCCCTTTCAGTATTCAGGGCTTCCTTCGCTCATCTCCAAGAGGAGTCTCAAAATAATTTTCTAAACGACAGCCTGAGGAAGCCAGGGATTTCTGCTAACTGCTCTGTTCTGACCCACGCCCCAGTCTCCAGTCTTCGCCTCTCACTAGCTGTTCTGCAAGTCCCCGCACTGTTTGCGGCGGAGACGTGGCATAAAGGCAGGACAATGCCAGTTTCCATCCATCATGAAAATAATGCAAAGGTCATATCCCTCTGCAGCGACACTGTGTAGAGAAGGCAGCATACTGTGTCTTTCTATTCAATTTCTTATTTCTGTCTCTTTCTAATAATTTTCCCTCTATGATCCTCAACTCATTTTACCACGTGTCCATTCTTTCCATACACTGCTACCTTCCCTTTTCTTTTTCCTTTCTTTTTGGTTCACATCCAGAATAAACGCACTTCTTTCTTGCAAAGGCATTTTAAGCTCTCCTCATTCCTTTTCAAGGATTTTACTCAAAATTGTTTCACTGATTTAAATCCATCCATTCAATAAATGGTCATTGATTAAAGTTCCGTATTATTAAGCACTATACTAGGAAAGAGAATAGAGATGAATAAAATATAATTCCAGACTTCAAAAACTCAAAATGAAGCAGAAGGTAAAAAAAAAAGGAGTATAGAAATAAATGCAATAAATGGTTTCAGTACTATGATATAAGTTGTGATATGTAGCTGCATTCTAGCAGTAAAAAACACAGGTTCTAGAGACAAACACCTAAGTTTGAATTGAATGGCTCTACAGGAGGGAGGGAAGAAGGTATTAATGAAGTAGAATTGACAGGGCTTGGTTAATAGGTGTGGAGGCGGTAGGAGGCAGAGAGGAAAATGAGGAATCAAACATGATTCTCAAGTTGTTGGTTTGCTGAAGAGTCTGCGGTGGGGGACCCAGGAGAAACACATCTGCAGGAAACATGATATATGCAATTTTGAACACTGCCTAGTAGGTCTGGAAATTTTGGGTGCAGGCACACACACAATAAAGTTTTTGTGTTCTTGGGAAATTTCCTTCATAGTAACATAGCGGTGAGCTTTTTAAGTCATACAATAAACCTAATTTGACATAACTTCATCTAATTACATAATTTCTTAAAAGAAAATTATTTTCAGTAGCTCAGTCAGTTAAGCATCCAACTCTTAATTTCAGCTCAGTCATGGTCTCAGGTTTTTTTCAGGTTGAGATGGAGCCCCGTGTCAGGCTCTGCACTCAACAGGGAGTCTGCTTGAGATTCTCTCCCCCTCCCACTCCTCCCGCTGTCTCTGCCTAAAATAAATAAATAAATAAAATCTTAAATTAAGAAAAAGAAAATTATTTTCTATCTCAACTTTACAAGACCTGTATATTTATCTTTTTATTTCACCTGCCTTTTATGCTACTCTTAATAAATTCAAAACAGACTTCTTAACAAGAAAGCACATCTTACCTGGACCTGTCCCATCGTGACTAATCAGAACTTTCTTCAGTTTTCCAAGAGACACTGCCTCGATGGAAAAAATATCAACCTGTATGATAACAAAAATAAACTGAATGACCATTAGGATATTTCCTTTTTCTAGGAAAAAAATAGCATTATGAGTACTATATCAGTTCATCACTATATTGCTATGTATTGCTATATTATTATTATTACTACTATACTATAAAAAATTCCCCTACTATTTTATATGCAGTCCTACACTATGCCTTGTGAGACAAATATAAGCAAGTAACAGAATTTTTGCCCTCCTTAATCATACGGTCTAAATAAATCTGAAAAAGATTTTCAAAATGTAATCATAACATTTAAGTCTACCATTAGTAGTGATAATAATAGTTGATATCGCCCTCACTATACACAAACTCTTCTAAGTGTTTTTCATATATTTAATCCTCAGAACGACCCAAGAAGTAATTACTACTCATTGTCGTATTTTACAGTTGAAGAGATGGAGACATACAGAGTTCAATTACTCACTTCCAAGGTCAACATCTAGTGAGGGACCAAGCCAGGACTCAGCCCCCAGCAGTCTGCCTCCAGAATGTACGCTCTCCACCACTGGTGTCTGCCTCTCAGTAGATTTTGTTTCTAAGTCAACTATGCATTGCAATGGCTACATGTGCATGCATATACAAATGAAGTTTTAAAATAAACTATTACCTAGATATGTAGTCTACAAATGAAAATACACAACACATTCAATGCACACATCCATGCAAATGATACATTAACAGCACCCTAAGACCCTTCCATGGCCCACTGCAGTCATAATCTCCCCCAGTTGTAGCCATTATCCTTTTAATTAGTTTTGCCAGGTCTAGGACCATAAACAGAATCATACAGTATGTTCTTTCTGCTTTTTACTCAACTTTTGTGGAATTTACCCATGTTGCTTTATTTAACAATGCTTTGTTCATTTTCATTACTGAATATTATTCCACATTATTTATCCATTCTGCTACTTATGAACCATAATTGTTTCTGGGTTTGGGGTATTACAAATAACACTGCTCAGAACATTCTTGACATGGCTTTTTGTGTATATTTGTGTACGTTTCTGATGGGGAACTACTGGGTTATAGAGCATTAGTCGATAGTCTACTTTTCCAAATTGCTTATAGCACTGCACACTGTGCATGCTCAGTGTGTGAGAGATCAAGGTGCTCCACAGGTACTCAATACTTGGTATTGTCATTCTTTTCAAGTTTAAGCCATCCGATTATGCACAGTGACCCTTGATTATGGTTTCCATTGTATTTTCCTGATTACTAACAAAGTTGTGTACACTTCTCATGTTGATTGGCTATTTAGATATCTTCTTTTTAGGAAGGACCATATTCAAGTGTCATGCCATGTTTTCAATGGGGTTACTGTTTTCTTGTTGATCTGTTGGTGTATATAGTTTAGAAACATTCCTTTGCCAGGATATATTTTACAATATCTTTCCTACTTTGTGATTTGCCTTTTTTACTCTCTTCATGGTGCCCTAAGGAAGAGAAGTCTTTATTAAAATGGTGTAAATTTATCTTTTCTCCTTTATGCTTAGTGCTTTCTTTGTTTTGTCTTTAAAATCTTAGTCTATATGCATGCTCATAGCAGCATTATTCACAATGCTGCTGTAGCCAAAATGTGGAAGCAATCCAATTGTGTTCATACTAATGAATGGATAAACAAAATCTTGTCTATACACATAATGGAATATTATTCACCCTTTAAAAAAAAAGGAAATTCTGACACATGCTACAACACATATGAACCTTGAAGACATTGTGCCGAGTAAAATAAGTCAGTCTCGAAAAGACAAATATCTTTGATTCCATTTAGATGAGTTTCATAAACGAATCAAAGTCACAGAGACAGAAAGTAGAATGGTGGTTGCCAGGGGCTGGGTTGGGGGAAAGAGAGGAGAATAATATTTATTTTTTAATGGGTATAGTTTCGGTTCTGCAAGATAAAACGTTCTGGAGCTGGATGGTGGTGATCTTTGCACAACAATGCAAATGAATGTGCTCAATGCCCCTGAATTGTACACTTAAAAACTGTTAAAGTGGTAACGTTCATATTATGCGTATTTTACCACCATTAAAAGATTCTTAAAATCCTAACCTACCCCCAAGATCACAAAGGTTTTTCTTTTGTAGTCTCTTCTAAATACTTAATTGTTTTACCTTTCCGATTTAGACCTAAACTTGTATGAAATTGATTTGGGGGTTCAGTGTAAAATTGGGCTCATAATTTCTTGGATATCATAATTGATATCCAATTTGCTGCCTTTCCCTGATGCTGCACATCAAGACATGGGGATCTTTTTCTGGCTCTATTCGGCTTCTTTGTTCTATTTGTCTTGCCTTGTACCAATTAATGCTGTCTTAATTACTTTAACTTTACAATAAATCTCAATATCTGGTAGTGTGAGCCCTCCAGCTTTGTTTTTCTCTTAACAACCTTCCTGGTTATTTGGGGTGTATTTGACTTGTTGCCCTTCCACATAAATTTTAGAATTAGACTGCCAATTTCCATAAAAAAAATTTATGGGATTTTTTTTTTAAGATTTTATTTATTTATTTGAGACAGAGAGAATGAAAGACAGAGAGCATGAGAGGGAGGAGGGTCAGAGGGAGAAGCAGACTCCCCGCTGAGCAGGGAGCCCGATGCGGGACTCGATCCC